TGTTTCTGAGCTGGGTAGTGTTTGGTAATTTATGCATATCTCGTTCTCTAGAAATTGGTTTACAGTGAATAAATATGATTTGGAAACCTAATTTGTATACCTACAACTCTTATGTTTATGTAAAACTATAATTTAGTTGTTATGGATTTGGAATATAGGACACAACATAGGGCAAGTTCTGTCCAGATTTCAGAATTTGAAATCTTGTATGATCAACTGTTAGTGTTTTGAATATATTTTTTTGTACAAAATATATTTTGCGGTGATTCTTGTTCATTTGCAACCTTTAGAGATATACCTACATCTTTCATGAAGGATATAAAGTCCAGCTTTTCCGTTTTCCTCTTCAAAACTAAGTTGCAACTTGAGGAACCAGGCTGGACAGATTCACTGTTTTGGGAGCATAGTTGTATTTGTACATGCTAGGCTTACTTGTGATGATCATGTTTTACGTCAACATTATTAAGCTAATAGAAGTTAAAGAAGTTATTTAATTGTATTTTTTAGGTTATATATACTCGTGTACACGATGAGAACCTTGATACGTTGGTCAAGGTACGGTTTGAATTCTTGAAGTTTTGTTGGACTGTTTCTATGCTAAATCCCGAGGTTTGGGTATAAACTTATACTTGTACTCTTGTTATCTGCTTGTATATTTGAAGGGTTATCTCAATATCTTGGTTACTTGTTGTCACATTGTATTGTCGTATTGATATTCTCTAAGACTTTCAAGACACTTGTGTAACTCGCCCACTTGTACAGATTGCTTGATCACTTGGCATTCTTGTTGGGACTTTGTCCTTCTTGTGACTGTGACTTTGTCAGTATTGACATGCCTATTGATTCGGATTAATTGTCATCTTGACTCTGGATTTTTGGTTCATCTTAAGTATGGAAGTTGTCCATTTTAAGTATGAACTAGGAAGCCATTTTTAATATGGTTCTTGATTCTCTTGATTATTAGGCTTTGACCCTTCTTGATACAGGGCTTCTGTCCTTCTTGATACAGGGTTTCAGTCCTTCTTGATACTTGGTTATGTTGGGTGTGAGGTATGATGTATATATTGGGCAAGCCTTAGTATTGGATCTCTTGGGAAATGGTGCTATAAGCGTTCTGGACACTTGGATCTTTAAATATAGAACTTGATACCCTTAATATATTGTTTACTTGATTTATTTATTATGTTTCGATTGTGTTGTCCATGACTTTTGAAAGGTAACTTGGTGAATCTATCGGCTCCACGTATATAGTTTTTACACCACTAAGTTTTATGCTTAGCGATAGTTGTTTCTATCGTAGGGAACGTTCGAGGAGATACTTGAAGCTGGCCATTGGAGGCGGAGTTTTTGCGAGCTTTATGGGAAGATCACATTTGCATATATGCATCTATAGTTTGCATAAATCTTGGGACTTGTACATGATCTATATGTTGTACATTTACATGGAATTTTGAAGGCTAATTTGATCATGCCACCATGAGTTGTAATATAAGTATGGCTATATCTGTTGTTCTTTTTGGGGTGTGTAAATCCAAGTCTTGTAATATACTAAATTTACTATTTGTTTTGAATGTTTGTGTGAAGTATGAACCGGCAAAGGTTTGTACTTGGAAGTTCGCAATATCATGTTATATTATTTTGAGTGTGAGGAAGAAATATGCACGAAAACCTAGTAAGTCATTTGCTTAGATAATTTTGTAAGGGTTCTTCCGCCATAAGATAAAATGTTACACAGTTTCAGTTTGGCATCAAATTATTGTGTAAATGGGCAGGTTTCACTTATTTAACTTCTTTTTTTTCTGTGAACCTAATTCCTCTACTAGACTAAAATAAATATGCCCTTTGTTAATCTCTTTTAAATATCGCAGGTATTAAATTAGTTTTCTCCTTTAAGTGGTAGCTTCCTTCCGAGATGGTTGTTACACCTAGGATCACGAGTGACCCCAAGCAAACCCTGCTGGCATATCATAATGCATACTTAAAAGAAATATTGTGCGGAAGCATAAGAAATGAGATAAACTGAAAAGATGAGGAATACACATTTACTGTTTGAATATATAAAAACTGAGAGTTTAACAACAACTTAAAAGTCAAACTCAAATACTAAAGCTGAAACTAACTATGTCTGAAATAGCCTCTAGCTGACTAGAAGTGCTGGGACATGCCTCAACTATCTAGCAAAAACTGAAACTAAAACTAAAAGCAAAGGAAACATGTATGTCGTCCTCGAGAAACGAGGACTCACCACTGATGTTGCTGAACTGGAGATCGGAAACCGATCTATGCGTGATCTGGAGGCTGAGGGCCTAAACCTACATCACGAGAAGATATAGCGCAGAGTATAGTCAGTACTTGAAAGGTATTGAGCATGCAGGATAGAATAAAGTTGAACAAAGCATATATCTGAGCAATGATAAGAGATAAGCATGATACTAAATTGAGAATACTGAACGTGAAATAACTGAATGCAATGACCAAGTTTATAACATGCTGAGACTGAAATTTAACTGTAACTGATAACATGGTCAATGCAATAGAATATGTCTATAAGGGAGCTATTAATAACCGACATAAAACCACATGAGCTAAATATGGAGTCTGATGTATACGCCCCATCGAGAGGACCCAATATACCCTACTAGAGGTATAGAGGCATGACTGGCGTGATCACTAAAATGTAATGCCCACAGAGAGGACTTATAAACCTACGGGTGCACGTAGTTCTGGGATTTGAGGGTGACTCACCCTTGTCCACTCGGTATTAAGCTACTCCTAATTGATTATGTATTTTACAATTTATGACTGAATTTCTGTAATACTGGATAGCTCAAAATACTGACATGCTGACTGAAAATGCAACATTAATCTATTTTCTGATGTGGCATGCTTCAATAACCAGTACCCTCGACCCCTCCCCCACCCCTAAAAAAAAATAAGTTTATTTTTAAAAAATAATTTCAACTTCAAAATTTTATTTTTTCACCCCTAAAATTGACCACCCTCCCCACCCAAAAAAAAAAATTAAGTTTATTTTTAAAAAATATTTTCAACTTCAAATTTTTATTTTTTCACCCCTAAAATTGACCACCCTCCCCACCCAAAAAAAAAAATTAAGTTTATTTTTAAAAAATATTTTTAATTTCAAATATTATTTTCTACTCTAGTAAAAATAAAAAATATTTCTCAAAAATATTTTTCATTCATAAATCAAACACTAAAAAATATTTTTCGAAAAATATTTTCTACTCACCAACCAAACATGAGAAAATAAAGTCAAAAATACTACTTGTTTTCCAAGAAAACATTTTCCTTCATACCAAACACACCCTTAGTGCTTAAAATTTGAAGAAGATACCAAAAAACAAACTTGATCTTTTTATAAACACGCAACAATAGATTTTGCATAATGTAGAAGTTTGACTGTTTGACAAATTTCAAAATATTCAATATTGAGAGGATAAAAATAGTGAAAGGAGAATAAAAAAAAGTAAATATAAGAAATATAATGTTGATTCATGATAGTCATCGGTATATAAATGAGGCAACAAAGTAGATTGTCACGAAAGGATGCTACAATAAACTAAACATCATTTCATTTTTCAATTATTACAACGATCCCTATATTAAATAAAGGATACATGAATCAACAAATTAATTAACATCAGCAAGTTATTAGTGAGAAAATAAAAAAAAACATTAATTAATTAAAATAAACCCAATTAGAAGAAGAGAAAACGAGAGAGTGAGGGCAATAGCAGAATGTATTTCTCTACACATTTTTCTAATGAAGGGGTAAGAGAATTTATAGAGGAAGGGAGAAATGGCACCATGCCACTTGTCCAAACTATTACATGCAAAATGCCACCATGAGACAAGTGTCAAGAAGAGGACAAGTGGCAAGAAGGGTGTAAAATAATGGCATATACTACACTGTCAACTTTACCATTTTTCCAACAAATATTTCTTAATTAATTTTGGCTTTTCAAATAATCTTTTGAAATAAAAACATTTTGCCAACAGAAATGACCGTGTTCAAAAGTTGAGGAATGTTTTCATAACTTAAAAAAAACCATAGGGAGGTTTTGTATAATTATCCTATGTACAAATTTATATGTGAACAACCTTCACCCACCTATTTTCTTTCATTCATTCCTCACACATTGATTGTAGTACAAATATAAATTTCAAAATTCCCCTCTACTCTCTCAAATACAGAGCAATGGAGACCAAAGCAGAGCTTGTTTTCATTCCATCGCCGGGATTGGGTCACGTCGCCTCCGCTGTCGAATTCGCCAAACTCGTTCTTGCTACAAATGAACGACTATGCATTTCTCTTCTCATCATGAAACATCCTGCCGATTTTGGTGTTCAATCTTATCTCCAATCACTCCCTTCTCTGTCCCGCTTGCGCTTTATTGATGTTTCAATAGACCCGAAACTAGTTGTTGAACTTTTGTCTAACAAGGACAGATTCTTATACGATTTCATTGATGGTCATAAACAGAAGGTAACTGAATTTGTTACTAACAACATTACTAGTAATAATTCCAGCTCTTCCCAATTTGGCTCTACTCGGCTTGCTGGCTTTGTTCTTGACATGTTCTGCATTTCCATGATTGATGTAGCAAATGAATTTCGTGTTCCTAGTTACATTTTCTTTACTTCTGCTGCTGCTTTTCTTGCATTGTCCTTTCATTTTGAAGCTCTGAGGAGTACCTCCAAGTTTGATTATTCCGAGTCTGATGAGGAATTGTCGATTCTCGGATTTAAAAATCGGTATCCTGCTAAAGTTTTACCTAAGCCAGCTAAGGCAATTACACCAAGCTCGAGTTTGTACTACGATGGGATTTGTCGTTTCAGAGAGACGAAAGGTATTGTTATCAATACCTTTGCGGAGCTTGAACCTTTTGCTCTTCAGTCATTGTCTGATGCTAAAATTGCTCCTCCGATTTATCCGATTCATGCTGTATTCAATTCAGACGATAATGACAAAAAACAGGAAACAGAAAGTATTGTGGAGTGGTTAGATGATCAACCAAACTCATCTGTAGTGTTCTTGTGCTTTGGAACCATGGGAAGTTTTGAACCTGAGCAGGTAAAGGAGATAGCAATTGCGTTAGAGCGTAGTGGGCACCGGTTCTTGTGGTCCTTACGAAGGCCTCCACCAAAGGGGAAAATAGAGATGCCAAGCAATTATGACAATTCGGAGGAAGTGCTGCCTGAAGGGTTCTTGGAGAGGACAAAAAGAATTGGGAAAGTGGTAGGATGGGCGCCACAAGTGACTGTACTTTCACATCGTGCGGTGGGGGTATTCGTGTCACATTGTGGATGGAATTCGACAATGGAGAGCGTGTGTTGTGGGGTGCCTATTGCTGCTTGGCCCTTGTATGCTGAACAACAGATGAATGCGTTTTTGTTGGTTAAGGAATTGGGATTGGCAGTGGAGATTCGGATGGACTATGTCAAGGACTTCGAGGGGAAAAATCCAGTTGATGTAGTTAGTGCTGAGGAAATTGAAGGCGCCCTACAGAAGCTTATGGCGAATGGTGAAGAGAATGAAGTGAGAAAAAGAGTGAAGGAAATGCAAGAGAAGAGCAGAAAAGCCATGGAAGAAGGCGGATCATCTTATACCTCTTTACGACTTCTAATTGACGATTTCATCAGCAACATTTCCTGAAGATTTTCTGCAAAGTGATCTTCACCAATGACAGGTTTTTCTCTGGATATACTATTCGAAAAATTTAGCACTCCGATGCTCAGAACAGAACTTTTAAATGCATTATGATCAAGGGTACAAAAGTTTTCTATGTTGATATTTGTGGTTGTTGCATATTCATAGTGTGCTTAATGCGTTAAAGTTAATATTAGCAGTTCTATTCCATGAATATTTTGGAGTATTGGTGACTGTTTGATCCCTAATTTTGTGGGTCCATCGTGATGATCTAGCGAACAATAATTACAGCATATACAAAATCCACACCAAATTCACATTGTAAAAGAGGATCTCACATCTATATTTCATTTTCCAGTGCGGTAAATATTTACCCTTCCTACTTATTGAAAATGTAATGAACTGACTGAAGATTGAAATGTGTAAAAGGCTGTCTTCACATATTTATAGTGAACAATGAAGTGTTTGAATAGAAGAAAACTTCGTTGATGTTCCTGATCTGTGGGGCTAACCATTGATATTGTAAAAGACAGGTAAAATTTATCATGCTTTGTTAAAAAATTCACCAACTTGTGGAGAGTGAAATCTATCCGGTGTGGAGCCATCGAGGACTATAGATGCAGAGTGTGGTGGTTGGATACAGTTCATTGCAAGGTATGAGACATGAATCTCACACTGATATTGTAAGATGCTTATGCTCTGCCCGTTGAAACTTAAACCTCATTCCAGTTTGATTAAACGTCTCACCTCAAGTCGATGCCTTTTAATACAGTGGGTATAGTTACACTAAGAATGTCACACTAGAGTTACATTACTAAACTGAGAATGCAATGGTCCGGAAGACCCAATCAAATTATACAAGAAAATTTATTGTTTTGTCGCAATGTGAGAGAGAATCTCAATTAGTGATGCTTACTTAGTTTTGTCCATCACCTGCTCGATAAAATGTCCAACAGAGTTGTACGAAGAGCCACATTCTTTTAGCGCCAATCTGCTCTTCTCCTTCATGTCCTTCACTTTCAACCTTATTTCATTTTCAGGATCTATCAACTGCTTTATTGCTTTCTCTATCTCCTCTGCTTTTACTATAACGTTCGATTCGGTCCCCCTGAGATCCTTCCTATAATCCATCTTAATCTCCACTGCTATCTCTAAATCCTTCACCAATTGAAATGCATTCGCTTGCTGCTCCGAATATATTGGCCAAGTTGCCAGTGGTACTCCGAACCAAATGCTCTCTAAAGTCAAATTCCACCCACAGTGTGACACAAAGCCACCTACAGCATCATGACTCAAGATAGCCACCTGGGGTGCCCATCCTATCACCTTCCCAATCGCTTCTGTCCTTTGCAAGAACCCCTCAGGCAAAACATCTTCTGGATTATCATAAGCAGCTGGAAAAAATGTATCTTTAGCCAAAGGCTTCTTTAGGGACCACAAGAATCGACATCCGCTCTTCTCCAAAGCATATGCAATTTCCTTTATTTGCTCCTCGTTGAAACTTCCTAAGCTTCCAAAGCAGAGGTACACTACTGATGAATCGGGTTGATCATCTAACCAGTTGATTATAGTTTGATGTTGAGAAGAATCTTGATTGTTACCGTGATCGTTATCAAGGTTTAGCAAAGGTCCGACTGGGTATACAAGTGGGATTTTCTCATCGAGGGAGAGGGATTTGACAGCATGAGATTCGAATTCGGAGAAAGTGTTGACTAGGATAGCTTTAGCTTCTCGAAGCCTTTTAGAAAGATCAAGGTACATTGTGGAACCACCATCCTTGTCAAAGGCTATAGATGGCAAACATTTAGCTGGAAATGGGTTTCCATACGTTGTCACCGAAAGCTCTGCTTCTGGATCATCCTTGTATTCTGTCACGTCTTGGTTAAAATCATCCCTGAGAGTCTGCAAATGAAGCTGAAGACCAAGCATGGCAGCACCAGACGTGTAGAAAACATAAGTCGGGAGGCCAAATTCATTGGCCACGTCTATCATTGCTGTACACATCATGTCAATAACAAGGCCCGCAAGACGATTTGATCCTGAATTCAAGATTTCAATCACAGAATTTCTGACTTGAGGCTTTTGACTGGATAAAAATGTGATGAAAGTTGTGTTTGTGATTGACTGTAAGATGGACTCATATTGAGGGAGTTCAATGAACTTCATTTGAGAGTTGTAGTTTGGATTTGTCGAGACTGATTCAATATAGGAGCTGAGCATGTTGTCAGAAGGCAGCTTGATTACGAGGACTGTAATGACGAGATGTTCATCTCTAGCTATTAGAACCTTTGCCATCTCAAGTGTGGGTACTAGGTGGCCCATACCAGGAACAGGAATGAAAACCAACTCTGTTTTCTTGTTTACTGACTCCATGTTTTGTTGCTTGAATGAAATTTGTTATGGCTCATAACTGGAAGCTTGATTTGTACTCATTTTATAAGATGCTGATTTAAAAAACATGTTAGTGTTAGGTGAGTGAAGACCAATAGACTTGGGGAGCAAGAGTTAATGGTAAATGATGTCATGCCTTGGCTGCCAAGTGCCAACTTACAATTAATTACAATAGACTAGTAGGGTGGCTTTTGGGTGAAGCCTTTAGCCCCTCATTTTCTTGGGGTCCCACATTCCATCAATAAGTTACATAGTATATAGTAATTAGTTTTCAATTTGTTTTCTCTGTTGAAGTTAAAAAAAAGTAAAAAGATTTTCTCAAGTGTTTGTCTTTTGTCATATTTCACATTGCATTTGCTCCTCCAAATATCCCAAGAAGCCAACAAAGGGATGCCATGAGAGCATGGACTGGATTAAAAGTTTTCCAGGTCCACCATGGTGATTATGTGAAATATATGCAAGGCAGGGGGTGGCTCTTCTTACGCCTTTCTTGGACGATTCAATTAGGGATATCATGGATAATCTTCACTAACTAGCTCGTATATGCCTACACACACCCTGTCATAGCAAAGCCATCTTTTTCTTCAAAGCCTATAACATCACACACTTAAGGTGAAGGAAATAAAAAGCAGCAATGAGTGAAATCAAGAACGTAGAGTTGGTCATCATACCATCTCCTGGAATGGGTCATCTGGTACCCGCAGTGGAGATGGCAAAACTCCTTATAGCTAGAGAGGAACACCTCTCCATCACTGTCCTGGTCATGAACATGAACCTCAAACCTTACCTCCGATCACTTTCCTCAAATGCTAATTGCAGCTCAACAAGATTGAAATTCATAAATCTCCCTCGTGACGAATCCGCTTTGCTACTCCTCAACAACAATACCTTCTTTTCTGGGTTTATTGAAAGGCATAAACCTCAGGTCAGACATGTTGTGGCTCAAATTCTGCAATCAAAAACAGCCACACTTTCCAGTTTTGTGGTAGACATGATGTGTACCATAATGATAGATGTGGCCAATGAATTTGGTGTTCCAACTTATGTTTTCTACACGACTAGTGCAGCCATGCTTGGCCTTCACTTTCATATGCAGAGCCTAAGAGATGATTTGTTACTGATTGTAACGATGACCCTGAATCAGAACTCTATGTACCTTCGTATTTAAATCCATTCCCAGCGAAATGTTTGCCGTTGATGTTCTTGGACAAGGAAGGTGGTTCCACTATGTTCCTTGATATTTCCAAAGGGTATCAAGAAACCAGAGGAATCTTGGTGAACACATTCCAGTAATTGGAAGCTCATGTTATGATATCTCTCTGTCTGGACGAGAAAACCCTACCCGTTTATCCAATAGGACCATTACTGAACCTTCACAGTGGCGTCAGTGATAAGGAAGAGTCGTCTCACGACGAAATTATCAAATGGTTAGATGGGAAAAATTCATCCTCTGTAGTGTTCCTCTGTTTTGGAAGCTCGGGAAGTTTCAACAAGGAGCAAGTGAATGAAATTGCGCAGGCTCTAAAGGACAGCGGGTGTTGGTTCTTGTGGTCTCCAAGGAAACAGCCACCAAAAGACTCATGGTATCCAAGTGAGTACAAGAAGCTGGAAGATGCATAGCCGGAGGGGTTCTTGCAAAAGACAAAAGGGAATGGAATGGTGATAGGATGGGCACCCCAAGGAGTAATTTTGTCTCATCGTGCAGTGGGTGGATTTGTGTCACACTGTGGTTGGAATTCAATTTTGGAGAGTATTTGGTTCAGTGTGCCAATGGCAACTTGGCCAATGTATTCAGAGCAGCAAGCAAATGCATTTCAATTGGTGAAGGATTTGTGTATGGCAGTGGATATTAAGATAAAGGAAAGCAACACAGATGTTATAAAAGCGGAGGAGATAGAGAAAGCAATAGGGCATTTGAAGGATCCTGAAAATGGAATAAGGTTGAAAGTGAAAGACATGAAGGAGAAGAGCAGATTGGCGCTAAAGGAAGGTGCTTCTTCCTACAACTCTGTTGGGCGTTTAATCGAGCAGGTTATGGGCAATAACTGACTATGAGCACTTCATTTTCCCTTTACACTTTGTTTCCATGATATGTTTGAATAGATTACAAGGATACACATCTATAATTTGAATAATAAACATATAAAAAAAAGTAGGATATAATGTAGAGCTACTATAAAAAGGTAGGATAATAAAACATGAAATATAATTATTAAATAATAAATAAAGACAAAATGAAAAGAAAATATTAAGGTGACAACACAATCACACCAAATCGGTCTTTACATAAAATGGGTCTTTTCGTCGTTATCTAATGATGGATTTAAACGATACGATACAATAGAATTTATATAACAATCAAACAAACATTATATTTAAACTAACAATTAGGAGTGTGCAAAAACAAACCAACCAATAAATCGAACCGAAAAAATGTTATTGGGTTTTTAATGGATTTATAAAAAATAATTATTGGGTTATTGGTTCGATATCGATTTTTACTATTGGGTTATTTACCTGATAACCCAATAAGATGGTAATAAGTACTACTTTACCCTTCCAAAATATTAGATATTGATAATTTAATATATAACTAGACACTATAACTATATCAAATTATTAGTACTCTACCCACTTCACATTAGGCCGCTATACTAGTAAGGGTATAGCAATTGTAGCTATTTGGTTTTAGTTTTAGTCTTGTTGGACTATTTGATTTTAGTTTTAGTTTATAATTGTAGGTTGTAACTTTTGCAAGTTTGTAATGGTCTGTTATAATTTGATTAACATAAGAAATTTCATACTATGTTTTAGTTGTGACATGTAATTATAGCGCCTTCATACTATATTTTAT